ATGGATGTTTTGCAAGTTTGCATGCCACAGGGATGTAAAACTTGGCTCCCAGGAACTGAAAGTTGAAGAAGTGATTACACAACTGTGCCATTGACCTTTCAGTGATGTGTTCTCATAGTTATCTGAGGAAAGAGTCATTAAATTTTACTACAGCTTCTCTTAGAAAGAAGGATTATGCAAGCCAACAAGACAGGCAGCGTGTCCTGAAAACGGTCAAATACCAATAGGGAACTTGGCCTCAAAATCCACACCTAAAGATGGCACAGCTGAGTCACAGAACCCCAAATAAATTGGAGCATGGGAGAAAGTAGATCTGTTGAATATATGACATCACAGCAAATAGCTTAGGAAAATAAGAGGCAGAGGCATATGCGAGAGAAACATGCAAATTAGTTGATATATAATGTGTGCTGTTTTGTCTGAGAGGGCCATTTTTTGAACACTTACTGGTCTGCTTGGGAACACAAAGCATGTTTTGTCTGGACGCTTAGTAACCACATTCTCAGGGCGACATATAAACAGAGGTAAACAGGTGGAGGAACAGGAGTGCCACTGATTTCATCACTTTCTCCAGGAACACAGGAATGCACAGACTTAGTCATTTGGTGGAAATGAAAACAAAAAATAGAGCTCCCTGTGAGAAATACAATAGACAGTGAGACCAATGCTAATGCCTTGTTGACTTTAATGCTGACTCCTCTTGATGCCTTTTGAGGTAAATTCCAGGATGAATCAGTCACCTCAGATGCATTCCATCCAGCACTTTGCCCGACCACATCCCAGGTGTGGCCCAGGTGCCTGAAGTTCTTGGCATACCCCTCCTGCACCTGGAGCAAAAAACAAACACACAAACATAGAAAGACGTTTGGAGGCCAATTTGGGACGTATGTTTATGGTGTTTTGCTGAAAATTTGAGCGTCTTGTCTTGCTTCTATGGAACCGAACTTTCTCAGGTTCGATGCAGTAAATCCTCATTGATTATATCAAAGTTTGAAGATCAAAATTTTGGGGTGCAGATTGTACTAGTTTTGATGCACATCTCAGATATATTTGTGCTCATTATCAAAACAAAACCCTTCTCTATGTGGGGCGAACTGCATGTGGAATGCAAAAGCATTCCACTCGCAGTGCTTTTGCACTGATTGTCTCTTCCAAACTCCTGCATGAGCTGAGATAATGATGTCAAAGTTCTTGGTTAAACCCAGGGCAAGTCTGGTCCCTGACAGACATATTTGAATACCTAAAGGCCAGAAGAGAAGGGTCTGAATGTCTAAAGTGACTCGGTGAAAGAAGTTGATTCAAGGGACATTTTCCATGACAAAACCCCTGCTATTTCCTGGAGCACTGAGGCTTCATATACAAACATGTCTGGGTGCCTGCCAAACCAAAAGGTCAACCAGTGGACCTCAGGGTTGCAGCTGACGTCAAAGCTCACGTCTATCATAGCGCCTTAAACCTACATTGATCTCATATATCACATTTTTTTTGCAGAAGTAAGTATAAAAAACGACATGTTATTCTGAAGGGACAAGAGTGAACTATGGCTTTAGAAAGTCTCCTCAGACATTGTGGTCGCACAGCAAGAATGCAAGGTTATTCATATTAAACCCTGAGAAATATCTGCTTTATTTTCAAGCAAACTTGTATAAATCACACTAAATAGGGTATTGAATTTGAACCGTTTAACTTTTCTCTAGTGTTTGAATTAGAAAATGTTTTCCTTTTCTACCACAGTGTTGTGAACAAACAGTCCATTTTTTTTGCTTTGTCGTTTCACTTAGATATGTCAGATAATCAAACACTTTTTAACAAAAGGAAAAAAATCATTCTTGACTTTGTGAGAAAGCTATGCCACAGCATCAGAAACATAAACTAATTCATTAATTAAGTAATTTGTTTGGCTAGGCCACTCCTAATACTTCAGGCAGTCTGAAGTCAACTTGCTGGTGTGCTTTGGATCAATGTCCTGTGGCATAACCCAAATGATCTTGAGAATCCATTAGTGTTTTTTTCATCAAAATAAGTTTAAGCATTCCTTTTACTGTAACAAAAACAACAACAACATTTTATCTATTTTCTCAGGTTGTCCTTTAAATTTTAAAAATTATTTGAAATGGTTTGGTGAGAAAAAAGTAAATGAGAGCTAAAGGTGCTATTACCACATATCACACATACCACATCTAGTGGTATGTTTGCTAAGATGCAGACTTGTTTTGTTGTCATAGAAATAGATGCCACAATGAAGTTACATGTACCCTACCTTATCAGGCAGCCATATTTTTACAGTGACAAAACATGTCATGCTCTTGTAGCATGAAGTTTTTGTTTCTATTTTCCATTTGTGCTGTCAGAAAAGAATTAAAAACATGCAATATTTTCAGATCAGCAAAAGCCAGCATCGTCATGCCATTTTTGATGTCATTTGGTGGAAATGACATAACATGTTTGCCGCTTTTCAGTATTCCAGTTACGAGAAAGCTGCTCTCTTTCCTCATACCTGGATCCTAGCAGTTGTCGCAAATGACATCAGAAAAAATTGTTCTTATCAGGTTCAAAAGGTGGATTTAAAATTTAAAGTTATACGAGGTAATTCTGTTCACAGACAAAAACACATCATCAACCAAAAACGTTCATCGACATTTGTCAGGTATGGCGTGACATTTAACTTCACCACAGTCACCGCAGCATGTCTGTAGTTGTTTCACTTCAGCTCAGTTCTTTCACACGGGACATCCTGTTGAGCACAGCTGTATCTGTTGCCTCACTCCAGTACAGATCTGCTTCTGGGTGTGCATGCATTCATGTGTCTGTCCTTTCACCATATTAGCATAAAAACATACAGATTTCATGTGTCTTTTTCCACACATTTTGGTTGCAGAGTATTTTGGTTCCAGTGCTGAACTGTTTGCAAAGTGGTTTCAATGGGGTAGTTTTCTGCATCAAATGTCAAAAATGAGTCTCACATTTTCTTTCCTTTTTCTTCTGAAAAATGCCACAAAGACATGTGGCGGTGCACGTGGGATAATGGAATAACTTTTCTCTCTCTTCCACTCTCATTTCACAGCTGTAAGATTTTCAAAAGTCTGCTTGCCCTTGTGATGTGGGTTAGTCTTGCCAGAGAGTAATTTTAATGTTTTTTCTGGGTCACTGTGCACTTCCAGTGGACCTCTCGGTAATTATTGGGCCTCAGAGACACTGTGGGTCATGTAAAAAGCTTCCAACACTGGCCAGGCTTTCACCAGTCTGCCAGAATGGATCTAAGGCAAAACGACTGAAACCAGCTTGATTGGATGCAGAGGTAGAAGTGACTGAATATGACACAAAGCTGAACAGATAATCATTTCCTGTTCCCTTACTTACTCATCTTCATCATTTTTCAGTAACACAATGTTCTTATGTACAACTTTAACATGAATTATAGAGAAGAAACATCATATTCCAGAACAATTAGCCTCTATAAATCAACTGGACAGCCCCATAACTCCCATTTTTGCAAGACAATGAACATCTAAAACCCTGTAAGGTCAGTCAGTTCAAAAGCTTAAAACAATGCAAGGGAGTTGCAGAAATTTCAGAGAGGCTCAAGGCTCACTGTTATCTGTCCTGCAGACTCCGGGACAGCAGCCAAACTGATGCCATCTCAAGGAGAGGAATGCAACAAAATGGCAGGAAATTCCTACTCGGTTTGCTCCCATCAGAAAAAAAAATTCTTTTCAAATGTGGCTACCGAGCAGCTTCGTAAGTATGCAAGTTGTTCTTAAAAAACAAAACAATGACTGCAGCATTGTCATGTAACAATGGCCAGAATGGAACTGTTCACAGAACCAGCAAACATATCAAGCTTAGTCTGAACTTAAAAAGAAAAAACTTTTTCTGCACGGAGAGCAAGCTTTTTATTCAACATTTTGTTTTGTGTTAGGATTTGCTGTCACAGTCATGCATAACAAAGCCCACGGAAAGAATAGAGATCTATAGTTTTTACAAGAGGCCACCTAGTGGTAACTCATCTATAAGCACATAAAGAGTTTTTTTTTCTTACTTGATTAAAGTCATTCATTAGATTAAGCATTTCTTGTTAGTTTTTTCCAGTGTAATCTTCCTTCCAATGACCGAGAGAAGTTGTATATGTTCATTGTGTTAAATTTGCTTTTGCTATAGCTACCACTATACGGTTAATGTATAAAACTCTCATACATTAAATATGTTTTAAAGACTGCTCTGTAAACCAGATATAAAAACAATAGTCAAACAATCCTGTGCTAAACCTGTATTACTCATCACAAAGTAATGGTAGATCTGCAAACCAGAGATAATCTCTGTACTACAGTGTCAGGATAAAACCTATTAGTCCCTCTATTTTTGTATTTTTATCAATAAAACATAGGCTTATTTGTAGGCCTGTTACGATAACAGATTTTGCTAGGCGATAAATTGTCTCAAAAATTATTGCGATAAACAATAATATTGTTTGAAGACCTTTTTACATTGATTTAATGGAAATTACATAATAATTCATGCGATTTCCTGCCAATGATAGATACACTTTACTTTCAAAAGAACACTTAACACTGGGACTGATACACAAAATAAATAAAACAACCAAAAATAAAATAGATTCTTAGTTTCCATTAACAATAAATGTACTTGAACAAAAACTAAACAACATAAAGCCAAAGTGGAACTAATACTGCATTCAACCAAAAGAGTGCAGATTATGAAGTCTGTATAGTATATTGCCCTTCAGTAATCATTAGATTTAAATAGAGACGAATCCGACTGCCTGATGCAATAGTTCAAACTACAGGATTTTTTACTCCGAACGACAATCTTACAAACATTATTCGATCTGAGATTGTCACTTGTGTGTTACGGTAGATCGTCTTGGCCTCTCCGATCTAAATCAAGGATTTGTCCAGACTGGGAGAGTGACCCAACCTGTTGAATGTGACCGGTAGCCAATCAGAAAGCGCCGAGTCTCCTCTGTGCTTTCTAAAGGGAAACACGGAGGGAATCTCGGAACAGTTGACACGGCGCAACCCGAAGTCCAGCAGACATCGGAAACAACATGAAAGTTTATTCAACATTTCATGCAAAGAAAATATAAATAACGAGGGGAGGAGTTGGAGCGAAATTTCTACCAGAAAACCAGGTAACTTTTCAGCTGTTCTTCGTTAACGTGACATAAATAGGTTCTAATGATTTTCATTCAGTCAGGACTGACACTCGCCACATGCATTGCAGGTAGATTGTAGTAAGGAATTGATTAATGTCTGGTTTCAAAATTAGTGAACTGGACTTATTATTTTGTGTCCATTGTTGGACACAACACGGTTCGATCGAACCGTTTTACCGATGATTTCTGTCGGCTAATGTGTCTCTCAGGTTTTGGTAATGGGCCGCCAATCCGCGACATAAGATCGTGCAGCGCGCGCTGGGCATTACACTAAGGAAATAAGGAAGGGAGGGTCAGTGGAGAGCACCGGAGATGAGCCTTTTTTCATTTAGTGTCATTAACAGTAAGAGAAAAAGGCAGGAAGAAACGATATAGCCGATAATATCTTGCGATTAATTGATTTATCGTTTATCGCGACAGGCCTACATTTGCTATGAGTGCCATTATGAACTTATGCTGCCATCTGGTGCCTAAAGTGGCAAGTGTGATCATGACAGTGTTAATCCAACTGTTTTAAATATTTAGAGTTCAGACCATTATAATCTCGTACTCTTGTTATTGTTATTGATGTGGCCAGAAATTTTAGCAAGGCACATAAAAAAACAAGGTTCAGTTTCCCACACATCTCCTTCCAAATAACAAAACAAGCCAAAATAACAAGGACATGAGATTTAATGAAAGAACTGCAGGTGGTTGATAACGTGTGGCCTTCTGATGGTCTGAGAAGAATTTTAACCAGCCCCCATCACTTTGTTTGACTCACTTTGATCATCTGTACTTTGCTGCAGTGCTGCCTTTTCAACCAGGACATTTTTAAGACACCAGCATGTCGATGGAGAAGAAGGTTGTGTTGATCACAGGATGCTCATCTGGGATCGGACTCAGCTTGGCTGTTCGATTGGCCTCTGACACCAGCAAAATGTTCAAAGGTAAACACAGCTGACATCTTTCAGTCGTGATCTCGAGAGGTTTTTGCACAAGAGTAACTCAAAATGTAGCCAGGCATTTTGCTACTGGTTAGCAATAAATAACTTGTCACTCTGTCAGGTTTGATGGTTATGTTTTTTGCAAATCCCTCACTTTTCTGTACAGTTATTTTGTTTAAATTAAAAACATGGGCGTTGAATTCTCTTTAGTGTATGCCACCATGAGGAACCTGGCCAAGAAAGAACGACTCTTAGATTCTGTAAAAGGTCTGCACCAAGATACGTTGGAAATACTTCAAATGGACGTGACTGATAGACAATCCATCCTGACAGCACGAGACAAAGTTGTGGAGAAACGGGTGGACATTCTGGGTTTGTTCCCGTGGCTGTCTGATCTCCTTCCGTTTGGATTGCTTTCAGTTTTCACATAATTGCCTCGTTTTCTTCATTTACAGTGTGTAATGCCGGTGTGGGTTTGATGGGACCCCTGGAGGCTCAGTCCTTAGACACAATGAGGCATATTCTGGAGGTCAACCTTCTTGGCACCATCCAGACCATGCAGGTGTTCTTGTCAGGAATGAAAGCTCAAGGTCAGGGCCGGATTCTGATCACGGGCAGCACTGGAGGGCTTCATGGTGAGATAATCAACTGAAAAAGGGATTACAAATGTCAAGTTACTTCAATTTTTGTTAGCTTATGCTTAACATTTCCTAAATAACACACTCTAATGCCCTCACAGGTCTTCCTTTTAATGAGGTCTACTGTGCCAGCAAGTTTGCAATTGAAGGTGCATGTGAGAGTCTGGCTGTCCTCCTGCAACACTTTAACATACAGTAAGTTTTAATGGCCACATCGCCACTCCTGACAGAAATACTGAAAATAAAAAAAATATTGTTCAATAACCGTACATTTACATAAGGATAATCTGAGTTGTATGTTTTGTTCCTTTTTTCCAGAGTCAGTCTCATTGAGTGTGGTCCGGTCAACAGTGACTTCTTGATTAACCTGCAGAAGGCAGAGCTCGGGGATTCATCCCTTCAACAGGTTGATGGCCGAACGCTCAGCCTGTATGAAAAATACCTGGAACACTGCAGCATGGTTTTCCAAAATGCTGCACAGGACACTGAAGATATTGTTGAGGTGAGCAGTTTTTTCTCATTAACACATCTAAAAAGCTGAAGATGCCATATGTACAATTCTTTAGTCTCAAAGCTAGACCCATACATACAATTGTTGTAAGCATGGTTTTGACATAAAAAGGATGTTACAGTGGAGTTTTCTTTTTAAAAAAAAACACTTTGAAAGTGTGGCTCACTGAAAGTTTTTTTTCTCTCCTGTCTGCTGTGAGCAATTTCTCCAGCAGCCAAGAAAGAAGCTAAAAATCACTCAAAATCAAATACCTTTATCACTGCATGATTTACAACGACAGATGTTAAACAAGACCGACACACCAGGAAAACCAAACAATGCATTATAAAATGAATTACATGGTGTGAAACGGCAATAAAATTAAATCACATCACACAGCCGATAGACAGCCGCACCATAAAATTGCACTATAAAAGTCTCATTTGGCGTTCTGTTCCAAATAGCACTTGGATAAAAATAACTTTTAAATCTAGTGGCTCGTGTTCCGATGGAGATGTGGCATTTCCCAAGAGGCAAAACTCTGAAACAGTTGTTCCTTGATTGAGAACTGCCCTGAATCAAGTTTGTGCTTCTCTGCTCACATCTTGTCATTAAGCCAAGATAGCGGAGTCCTATGCTGATTTCCTGTCTTTCACTGACTGTCCACACAGTAAAAATTCCTCTTTAATAACCTCAGACTCTTATATAAATATCTATCTTTCTATACTTCTCGCAGATGCTTTTTGCCCACCTTTCTGGCTCCGATCAGCAGCATTGTTACTCTTCAAAGATTTTGACAAGATCTTTGAAACCTTGAAAACAGAGGAGACCTACATCTTTATTTCTCAATCCTTTCTACGTTCCAGCAGTGTAAAAATACAATGAGCTTCACATAAAGAAAGGGAATACTTTACATGTTATACAAACAATTGAAGAAAATGTACTTTTCATATTTCCAATAAAAGTAAGTTTTTTAAATGAAGACATTTAGAAGTGGAATAGCTGCAGGTTCGATAAACAATCGAATTCTTTAAAAGGAAAGTTGCTGTTACATTTTTAAAATAATTCTGTAAAACCCTCTTCACTTGCAGTTGTGTAGGGACTTATTTCTTCCTCATATCTTTGTTTTTCTTTTCCTCTAGGTATTTCTAGATGCCATTCATTCCACCAGTCCTGCATTCAGATACTTCACCAGCAATGTCATGCCACCTGTTACCAAACAGAAGGTCACAGAACCAGATGGAATGGAATACATCAAAGCTATGAGCAAGATCATTTTTGCAGATGAGGACCAATAACTGCAGAAATGTTGCTTTTTCATTCAAGCAGCCACTTTATCTGCAAACTTTGGCCTAAGTGAAAAGAATAGTGTTTGGTTTTCTAATTTTAGCTTTTGGGGCAAAGGTGATGAAGTGAGTTTTGTAAGAGGAGTTTACAAAAAAATGCAACTCCACATTCTATATTTGTCTAAGAGTTATTGCTTGTGGAGTAATATTTGATAAGGATTACATATATTGTTTTAAGTTATTCCACAACCTTTGCATTAGTTTATTTCAACAAAGCTTTTATCTCACATTCCATATTTTCTCTGAGATTGCGGTGCTTCATGCCAGGCTCTTGCATTAGATTGTTGAAACAAAAAATTTTCTAAAAATGTAGCTATGTAACTTTAGTTTGCTATTTTTAACGCATGGAAAAAAACTGTCCCATTTTAAAGCAAGAACTGGCTGAATGATGGTCTATGTAAAGACCCAAAACCTGGAATAATTATTGGGTGTCACATTATATTAATATCCACACATAAGTACAAAGTTATGCATGTGTATATATGTGTATTTGCATGTGTGCATTTTGCAGTTTTAAACTTTAAAAGCAAAGGATATCCCAGCCAAACTGGGATATCCTTTGTTGGTGTTATATATATATATATATATGCATTCATGTCAGTTACACTAAAAGCACAAATATGGGAGCAAAGAAACAGACTGCATTGCATCATGAGATGTGCAGTGTACTTAGTGATAGGCCTGTGACACGACATCAGCCAAAGCAAACACAGCACAAAGAAATCCAATTGAACTTTTAATCAAAGATATGTAAAACAAAGGGTTCCTGCAACTCCTTTCTCTTTCAGCAAGAATCTAGCTGGATTAGAAGACAAATGTTTCCAAATATTTGTCTAATCTGAAATTTACTGATTTTAAGGTATATTTGAACAAAATGCTGAGGCATTAAATTGTTGCACAAAGTTTCATGGATCAAAGTCTCAGTGGACAGTCATTCACTCTGTAATGTTTAATTCAGTAAGGGGATTAGCTTGTCCTCTTCTGACATGAGACGGGTTATCTTGTCTGTACATCCACGGCTTGCGTATCTGACCTATTTTTTGACATGCCTCACTGAGACTCTCAAATCCTTTCCTGATCAGGTGCTCTAATTCCTTTCTGAGGATCCTTTTTTTGGATTCAACAAGTTGGCCATGTTAGTTCGCAACCCTTTAAGACAAAAGCACAGACATGTGAGCTCTTTAGAATACAATGTATTATGTGGATCTGTATTACTGGGATTTAAGGGTGCTGCAAGTACAAATAATTTTCACATTTGGTCTGGTGAGATGACTTCACAACATTTTTTTCAAGATATTTTTTAATAAATCAAATGCTTGAGTGCTTCCTTATTTTTTATTTTTTTTGTCTGGTTTAATTATTACTCCAATCAGTTTTGTGACCTTTACTGCTGCGTCGTATCAGAGTCCAGGTTCATCGTGTACAGGTCATTGACCTGCTGGACTTTCATTCTGTCCAGAGTGGAAAATTCTTTAAATGCCATTCATACACTGGATTCCAAACGCCAGATGATTTAGTTGCAGTTATCTATTTCCTGCTTTTTCTTTTTTTTATTGGATTTAGGTAATTATGTATGTAGATTAAAGGCAAACCGATGAGTTTTTGATCTTTACTATTAGACTATTGCTACAAATATCCTGAAATAGTCTTACTTCAAATCTCTTTATCCCTAACAGTTTTGTATCTGAACCGAGGTATTTAATGACCAAATTAATTTTATATCCAGGGCGGGATATTGGTTGGTTGAGTTTGGAAGAGTATATTACAATAAAGGTTTTGTCACATTCTGTTTCATTGCATTGTTTATACATTCTCAATGATAGCTAACCACTACCATATGCAGGGACAGTAACGTCACAGTGTATCGTATGAGATAAGTGTCAAAGTATGAAAAAATGAACCAGTTTTTGTATCCTTTGTTGGTACATTCAAGTTTTTTTTTTTTTTTTATCTCCTACATGATTTAGTTCAAGCAGCTTAAATTTTGTGATTGACAGTTTATGACGATAAAAACAGCTTTTATTTCAGTTTAAAATGTTTTACTGTAAATTAAAAATCAAAAATCTAATAAGCAGACCAACTGTGCATAGATTACATTCATAAGTCGGCAACATTTAAACAAACAAACAAAAAAAATCGTATTTTGCCAGGCTCCCTAGGGTAAAAAAGGCAAAGCACTAGCAAAAGAAGTGACTTATTTTTTTAATTATTTTGACATTTTTCTTCTCCTTTTCATATAAATTACTCATACATATATATTCAAAGATAAAGTTTATCTTAGACAGTCTTACATTATGCTGCAAAAACATTGAAACTGTTTTTGTATAACTAGTTTTGGAATATCTGTGCATATCCACCTTTTTAAAATGTATCGTTTAAAAACCACCGATGCGTATTTTGATTGGTCAATGCCGATGACGGAGAGCATTACGTAATATATTTCCTTATTTGGTGGCATAGCCACGCCCCTATAGTGAGTATAAAGCCCTCGCGCAGCAGCTGCTGGCATGGTTTAACCGGCTAGTTTGTGAAACGAGGTTTTTGATGGAAAAATACAGAATGACCAAAAGAACGACTTCTCTGCTGTTTAAGGCGCTGGTGGATATGAAGGACGGCACACTGTTAAAGGCTGGACGTGGAAACAGCAGAAGAGCGCACTTTAGGTGGGTCCGACTTTTCCCACTCGAGATTCCTTCAAATCTGTTCACTCTGCTCCTCCTAAGCATTCATTTTCTTTTTGTTAAATATTGTTCCTTAATTAAATAGAAAGTGCAAAAAGGAGCTTAAATAACCTTTTCTTTAAATAATTCAAAGCATACATTAGATTCTAATTAAAGCGAGTTTTTTCAGTTTTTGGTTCACTCTGTTGAATAAATGAAATAAGTAAATATCCTCTAAGGAGTTATTCTGCAGTATTAGCCACAGACTCAGAAATACACGTTTTCTTCCACTTTAGACACTTGGGCTCTTGTGGGATCCTGACAGAAAGGAGAGCCAGCCTTCAGCTCTGCCCTGCATCCCCCCTGAGGACAACCAGGTGCACCTTCTTCAACCTGGCTGCTCCCATCAGCACCCGCAGGATGGAGTACACGGAGAGCAGGATATTGCAGTGAGTACCAATTTAAACAGTTTGCAATAATCATAGTAATAATAATAACACACAAAAAAAACAATAATCTTGATGCATCTATTATTTTGTATCTGTATCAAAACCAGGAAATATTCTAAAAGAAAGATTTCCATTAATTTGATCATTTTCCATGTAACTGTGTGTCCAGGTACACTCCAGAAGAGATGTACCAGGTGGTGGCCAAAGTAGAGGAGTACAAGTATTTTGTTCCCTGGTGCAAGAAGTCTCGAATCCTGAAGGGACCGAAGGGAAACGTTCGGGCAGAGCTTGAAATTGGTTTCCCTCCCATCACCGAGCGATATACATCTGAGCTCACTTTTGTTCCTAACCATCAAGTTAGAGTAAGTCCTTGGATTGACTGGGATTTTATAGCTTAAAATGTTTTTAAATCTTCATTAATTTACAGTTATAATGCAATGCAAAATGCTTTTTGTTTAGTAACTCTCGTGAGTGTAGTGATCAGCTTGTTAACTTTTAGCATTTACACATTGCTGGTGTCCAAATCAGGCGGTGTGCTCTGATGGATCACTCTTCAGCCATCTTGAAACGGTGTGGAGGTTTTCCCCTGGAGCCAAAGACCTTCCAGGCTCCTGCAAAGTAGATTTCTTTGTAAGTACTTTTCTGTGAATAAGATAATTCTTCTTCTTGGTGAGTTAAGCAAAGACCAGAAAATTGCCATACTGGCTATAAATGTTTAAAAGCGCGAAGATATTGATTTCAAGAGAAGAAATTAATAGATCAGACTCCATTCGTTAGAGTCTTACTTTTGATCGATTCTTTCCGTACTGTTGTGAATGGATTACTGACTGAGAGGAAGTGTTGAATGAAATCTCATTATGCTCTAAATTTAGTGTAGTGCATCGTGCTGGTGTTGTGTGAGAATGCAGCAGCAGTAAACGTAACGTATTAAGGAGCTGCTGACAGGAGTTTAAACTCAATGTTGGCACAGATTACACCAAGATTAACCAAAATCTAGTTCAATTTCAACCCGAAGTGTTAAGCACTATAGTCCTGAACTTCCGAAGCCTAAATATCATTCAAATATGCCAAGGATGCAGATTTTTGTGATCATTTGTTATTTTTAACTCTTGAACATTTGGATTTTTCTGTCTCCTGCAGGTGTCCTTTGAGTTCAAGTCTCTGCTGCACTCTCAGCTGGCCTCTGTATTCTTTGACGAAGTTGTAAAGAAAATGGTCAGTGCCTTCGAGTCCCATGCAGCGACTCTTTACAGAAACAAGCCAGTCGCTTCCTTGATGAGTCGTGCAGCTATTAGCAACCACCTCTGACCTCTGCAGTGTCCTTATCCTCCCGGGCTACTACCAAAACCAAGCAATCATGCTGCTTTCACTACAGTCAATACTTGACTCTCATCTGAGACCAGTTCTCCTGTTTGCACGCACCTATATATTTTATTGATATGTAAATTGAACATACTCAAACTGTATTTATTTTGAGCCAAATTATAATTTATTTATATGTCTGTACATATTTATTTATTTTGCTGACAGTAATAATACATCAAATAAAAGTTTTTGTTAAATAAAATTGCTTTGAGAGTTGATTCCGATTTCTTGTAGAGTAACTAAAACTGTTGTTTGTTGCCCAGTGACTGATCAAAGCAAGATGCCAGTATAGAAACAAAGGTCAGGTTATCGTATTTGTAATCTTTATCATTTAACTAAGCATTCAAAGAAAAGGGGAAAACATCTGCTTACAGGAACAGTTGCACAATGACCCCCAGGGTGCTGTTGACCTCTCTCTCCCAACTAGTTAGTATTTGAACACAAAGATATATATACTTGGTAAGAGGTTGGGTTTTGTTTTTGAAAATATTCTCAAAGTGTGTGTGTATTACTTTCTTTCTATCTTTTGTTTTAAAGTGGAAAAAACCTTGACATCTAGACCTTATAACAAGAACTATATATTAAGACGTTCTTCAGACTGACCAGCACAATAATTTGACACATTTCTTTGTAAATTACCTTCTGTGGTAGGAAAGTGTTAGAATTTTAGTGGGGTTTTCCAAAAATCTGTCAATATGACATCAAAAACAAAGGCAGCAGTTCCAGGATTTTCTGCTTTTGCGCAACATCTGCAGCCATAAAAGGTTGGAGACGTGTGAGGAGAGGAGCAGAGACTCAAAAGCAGCAAACATGAAGAAGATTGTTATTCTGATCCTAGCATTTGGATTCTGTTTTTCTGATTCTGGACCTGATGAGAATGACAGAGTCTGTCAGGTTGCAGGCTCAACTAGCTGCTGTAACATCTGCTGTCTCTCATCTGTAACTCAAAAAGTGGGAGAACTGGGGGAGAAAGTTGTAAACTTAGCAGAAAAAATAACTTTTCTGGAGACCAGGCTGCAAAACACTGAAAAAGAAGTTCTGGAGTTACGGAGCCTCACTGGAGGTAAAGTAATACATTTTTCAGCTTTACAATGAAATATAATTACTGCATGTCCAGTTTTCCAATGTATTTCTGATGTTTTTGATGTTTCAGGCTCTCCTCAAGTGGCTTTCAGCAGCTCTCATGGATTCTGGTTATGGAAACATAGGACCTTTTACCACTGCTACCCCATTGCAGTACAAAAAAGTTTTCTCCAACACAGGCAATAGCTATAATCCTTCAACAGGTGTGTACACCATTAGGAAAACATACAAAAACAGGAACAGTCAAATTTATATAAATTGGTGTATTCCTTTCAGTTCTTCTAATCCTTCATGTTTTCACAGGTATTTTCACAGCGATGGTCAGTGGAATGTACTTTTTTCGCTTCTCAATGTTCAACAACTTGGCTTCTCCTCCCAACTCGGTTGTGAGCCTCATGAAGAACAGCGAACGGCTGACGTCTGTGGGACACCAATGGGTCTGACATCAACGACATGGGCAGCAACGCTGTGGTCATCCCTCTGAAAGTGGGAGACAACGTGTTCGTGCAGCTGCAGCCAAACAGGCTCGTCTATGACGACAGCATGAATTACAACACTTTCAGTGGCTTCCTGCTTTTTACAATATGATCCATACAACAGCTCTGCATGCCAGCATGATTCTTCATTGTCTCACAATAAAGGTAGTTGTAAATCATACTCTGTCAACAATGTTTTAAAATTAAATAAATCAGAAATACCTCACTTTGTGGTAGTGTGCAAATTTCTGTTTTGCAATATATTTCGTAGATAACGTTGACCTTTTTGAGAATTTTAAATCAAGAGTATTCATTTTCATTGGTGTGGACATATTTGGGGAAGGGTTTAAACACGAATGAGTTTGTATATTTATTAAGCTATAACATGTATTTTTCATCACTCTATTCTCTCTGAGCTCACCTCGACATGCGTTGGCCATGGAAAGGCATCCATAAGCAGTTCTGACAAGAATCAGTCAGCCTCCATGGGAAAAAAAATATTGACTACAGGGAGGGAGGATGACTAGGAGTTGTTGGATGTAAATATATAAAAAAACTTCTTTTGTTTTGAGATCTATTGTAGTCAAGACTATATGCATGTAAATACAGAATTTGTTTCTCCTCCCCTTTTATTTAGCAGTGGTTCAGGCTGTAATGCTGTAAAAGCTGGGCAATATGAAATAGAACAACCACCAACAAATAAAGCACTTTTATTTGTTGGTGGTTGTGGAATGGGTTCTCTATTCTTTTGCCGTAACAAATGTAAGAAATTGTTTAGTTTTTAAAAAAGAAGAACTTTGCACCTTTGAATGTTGTCTGATTTCTCTTTTTGGTGTGTATTTTTTGTTGTTGTTTGTAAGAGTGAAATGTTTTTGACTTATATCTATAACACTGGAAGACTTTTACAAGTGTTATAGGCATTACACTGGTCATACCTGTTATAGACTATGGCAATGGAAGACTTGTGAAAGTGGAAGACTATGACCATAGTCTTCAATGATCATAATCTTCCTCTTTCACAAGTTTTACGGTTGATTCTTCACCCAGATCAAAATAGAATCTTATTCATGTTGTGGTGTTTGATAGCAGATTGGGTCTCGTTATTGTTCAAGGCCTCAGAAAAGATAAGAGCTGTAATCCAGATAAGATAGGCCTGAGAACAATGAAGGCCTTGTGCGAGTAATGAAACCAAATATGGGAAGTTGTGTGTCTGCACCATAGAGAGACAGTGTCTATCTTTTTGGGAAACTCCTCTCATGGCTTTGATTTCGTCTCGATTGTCTACAGATCTGCAGATATAACAGGATATGTTTGTCAAAAAGTTATCTTTTAATTGAGATAAATTTTAAACTTAAAACATCTTGCATCATATTTTATAATTCCTGGACACTTCAAAGGCACTAAATGTCATTATAACTGGAAAATTCCTCTATTCACAATATATTATTGTCTCTATTATAAAAGTGTTAGGTTAGCAGTACACAAGATCTTCCTGTGATCATTGGTTGCCCTGCAGGTGTAAACATTTGCGTTCTCTTCACCAACCTTTGAAAGAATGAGGGTACATCAACCATCGTTCATCGTACTTATCTGGACAGTGAACGATTCTTCTACCAGTTCATCTCCATATAACCACACCACCACTGGAGCAGAAAATTGTGCAGTAAAATACAAGAGGAGTGAGACATCTGGTGTTGGTGCTTTTTTACACCTTCAAAAGCAGGTGAAGCTTTAGCATCTAATAAAGTTTGAGCACACTTACAAGTGACTAAATTGGTTGTCATCAAATTGTTTATTTTTAATAGTACATTAAAAAGAAACAGTTTAAAATAGCTTGTTTTTCTATCACTGCTGCCCTCTTCAAATAATGCAACAATTACAGACATGAACCAGTAAAATAAAAAGAAATTATCTTTTTTTGAATATATTTCAAAAGACAATTTTTAGTTACTTAGTATTTTTATCTCTTACTGCAAGTCCTTTTTTTATTAATTACAGTACCTTCATGTAGACTTCAGTTGCAATGTCATGTGAGCTGATCATAAATGTGATAAATAAAATAAATAAATTTTTATAGTGAAGGAAATGGAGCGTTTTCACCAGGTTGTTATACATATTATAGATTCAACTCTCTTATTTGTGGAAGTTGCACCTTCAAAACTGGTTTTTGGGACAACAGAGCCTTGATCATACTCCTATGTTGATTTTACCTCCTGTTACAACTTAGATCCATGTATCTAAGGAGAGCATAACTTGCTGATTAGGTAAATATGGAGATAATGACAAAAAGGATGGAAATGTGGCTTGTGTTTAAATTGAAAAAACCTAAATGAAAATAACATTTTAAGATTTCTTAGTCTTCAGCTTTTTCTTGAACAGTTAAGAGTTAATTTAAGCAGACAGAATATCTGAATTTCTATGTTAACATTTTTGATTAAAGCACAGGTAGATACCACTGAGGTGGCGTTAAGAGGCGGGGACAAGAGTAGTAAGCTACTTTTGCTCACTGTACCATGCAGTCATCAGGCATAAAAGGTTGGAGACGTGTGAGGAGAGAAGCAGAAACTAAAAAGCAACAAACATGAAGAAGATTGTTTTTCTGATGCTAGCTTTTGGCATCTGCCTTTCTGATTCTGGACCTGATAAGGAAAAAGTCAAGGCCTGTCAGGGTGCAGACTCTGTTGGCTGCTGTAACATCTGCTGTCTCTCATCTGTAACTCAAAAAGTGGGAGAACTGGGGGAGAAAGTTGTAAACTTAGCAGAAAAAATTACTTTTCTGGAGACCAGGCTGCAAAACACTGAAAAAGAAGTTCTGGAGTTACGGAGCCTCACTGGAGGTAAAGTAATAAATTTTTCAGCTTTACAATGAAATATAATTACTGCATGTCCAGTTTTCCAATGTATTTCTGATGTTTTTGATGTTTCAGGCTCTCCTCAAGTGGCTTTTTCAGCAGCTCTCATGGATTCTGGTTTTGGAAACATAGGACCTTTTACCACTGCTACCCCATTGCAGTACAAAAAAGTTTTCTCCAACACAGGCAATAGCTATAATCCTTCAACAGGTGTGTACACCATTAGGAAGACATATACAAAAACAGGAACAGTCAAATTTATATAAATTGGTGTATTCCTTTCAGTTCTTCTAATCCTTCATGTTTTCACAGGTATTTTCACAGCGATGGTCAGTGGAATGTACTTTTTTCGCTTCTCAATGTTCAACAACTTGGCTTCTCCTCCCAACTCGGTTGTGAGCCTCATGAAGAACAGCGAACGGCTGACGTCTGTGTGGGACACCAATGGGTCTGACATCAACGACATGGGCAGCAACGCTGTGGTCATCCCTCTGAAAGTGGGAGACAACGTGTTCGTGCAGCTGCAGCCAAACAGGCTCGTCTATGACGACAACATGAATTACAACACTTTCAGTGGCTTCCTGCTTTTTACAATATGATCCATACAACAGCTCTGCATGCCAGCATGATTCTTTATTATTTCAGAATGAAGGAAGTTTCTTTTTTCAATGTTCAAATGAGCATAATTTGTGTTGGAAATGCTTGATGAAATAAATTAATCAGAAATACTGCATTTTGTGTGGGTGTAAAATTGTGTTTTATCTGCATAAGTGACCTCATTAAATAGCATTTAAAATATCTTCAGTAATAAATAATTGGGGTATTTTCCAGATAGATTTTAACTGTAATGAGTCATAAAAATGAATCAATCAAAAAGCATCAACAAAAAACTGCAGCAGAGAAGTACTTGGAAACATCTAAACAACTGAAGTTGATATTTGTAGGAAAGAAAAAAAGAAATGTTGAAACTAGTTATACTTAACTGAATAGTTCAAGTATGTCATTCTCTTTTAATTGCATCATCAGAACTTTCCTCATTTGGCTTCTTCACCATACATATTCACGGCAACAAAGATCCTCATGTCTGTACAGTTGCTCTTTGCAAATATTGACTCTATAATAGAACTGTTAGTTTAGTGGTGCACAATATATCTCCGTGGTCATTTTTTGCACTGCAGAAGTAAACATTTGCATTCTGTGCTCCAACTTTTGAAAGAGTCAGGGTGCAGCATCCATCATCATCGTACGCTATCTGGACTGGATGATTCTACGACAGGTTCATCTCCACACAGCCACAACACCTCTGGATCAGGATATTCTACAGTAAGAAATAAGAGGAGTGACACATCTGGTGTTGGTGCTATTTGTACACTCTCAGAACCTTTACCCTTTCGTGTTTTAATAGACTAATAAATAACTATTATGGTTTGTTATCAAATTGTTTTTTTATAGTATATCAAAAAGAAACAGTTTAAAAATATTTTCTAACATAGCTGCATTCTTTAAATAATGTAAAAATTATAAACATGAACCAATAAAATAAAAATAAATTGTGTTATTCTTTTTCAAATATATTTCAAAAGACAGTTTTTAGTTACTTAGTATTTTTATCATTTTTTATTAATTACATGATAATTCAGTTATCATGTAGTGAATTGCTACAATTAGAGAAATTTAGCAGTTTTTCTTGTGTGCTATGTCTATTTTAGACTGAACTCTCTCTTGTTGGAGGAAGTTACACCTTCAAAACTGGTTTTTGGGACAACAAAACCTTGATCATGCTTCTATGTTGGTTTTATAAACAGTCACACCTTTATTCAGAGATAAACAGTACTTGACATGCTGGCCAAGTTAATAAATAGCAGATCAAATGTGGCAAAGATCAAAAGAACAACAAAATGGTAAAGTGGCTCGGGTTTAGCAAATAAATTTCAATGAAAATATAGTCGTGAGAGTTTTTGACCTTCACCATTTCTTTAATTTCAGCAACTTAGCTTAAGCAGAACAGCATATATCTGAAATTCTATGTTACCATGCACACAGGAGTCCTGACCTACTTTTACACAATATTACATTCACATGTGATCAAAAGGTGGAGACATTTGTGGAGTGGTGCAGAAGCTCAAAAGCAACAAACATGAAGAAGGTTATTGTTCTGATGTTAATGTTCAGCCTTTGTCATTCTGGTCCAGGGAATGATGAGGAAATTTGTCCTATTGGAGGCTCAGCCAGCTGCTGCAACATCTACCCCACAACTATGGAAACGAGGCTGCAAAACAAGAAGTTCAAGAGTTGCGGAGCCTCACTCAAGGTAATACATTTATCAAAGTTATAATAAAATATAGTTACTTCCTGTCAAGTTTCCAATCTGTTATTTTGATATCCTCAGGTGCTCCTCGAGTGGCTTTTTCTGCAGCTCTCCCCTGCTCTGGAAACATAGGACCTGTTACGACTGCTACCCCACTAACGCACAGAAAGGTTTTTTCCAACACAGGGAACTGCTATAATCCATCAACAGGTGTGTACAGCATTAGGAATTAATGTGTGCAAAGAAAGGAAAACAAACTAATCAAATCAACGGGTTGCATTTCTTATTTCAGTTCCTGTAACTCTTCATATTTTGTAGGTATTTTCACAGCAATAGTCAGTGGAATGTACTTCTTTCGGTTCTTGATGTTCAACAACATGACTCCTGCTCCCGCTCGGTTCTGAGCCTCGTGAAGAACAGTGAATGGTTGACATCTGTGTGGGACACCATTGTGACTGACATTAACGACAGTGGAAGCAACGCAGTTGCTGAAAGTGGGAGACGAGGTGTACGTGCAGCTGGAGCCAAACAGGGCCATCTATGATGACGGGATGCACTATAATACATCCAGCGGCTTCCTGCTCTTCCTCATGTGATGCATACCATCCCTATGCATCCCAATATGATTCTGTACTTTTTCACAGAAAATGTATTATTTTATTTAGAAAATTAGCATGATGTGTACAAATAATTTTTATTACAAATGTCATTTTGTATAAATGTGTAAATTTGTATTTTATCTGCTAGATTGAATATATTGCATAGTCTTCAGTTATAGACTAAGCAACAAATAAGAGTGCTCTTTTGTAGATTGTTCTTACCTTTAGAAACAAATTTTAGTCTTGTGGAAAGAACCTAATTAGATAAAATTGGGGAACAAGTTCCATCGGTCGTCCTCAGACTTCCTTTTTGTAGTACTCATCAAAGTTTTTTGAGCCTGGCCATAATTATTTTTAAGATGAATGAAAACCAATCCAACTTATGTAGAAGAAAAACGTATCAATAATTAAACTGTATGTTTTTCAGTCAAACTGAGTTTCTCAAAGCAAAAGAAAAAATTTGAAATCAAATAGCTTAGAAGTTGCATTCACATCAGATCCCCCCTAAAAAGAGTAGTGGTTGTTAGTAAGTGAAAATTTGATGTATGCAGATAAAATTCAAAGACGTTTCATTGCCCTTTATTCATTACAAAAATATTTCTTTATAATTCTTTATGAATCTCTACATTGTTTGGTATGCCACCAGTCAATTTCAACAAGTTCTTGACAATTATATCACAGTGAAAGCAGCAGTAAATGTGACACATAGAATGCAAAAATTTAAATCGCACCTACTTGAAATGCAAAATAATGGTCGAGTATACTTCTACTAATATACTGTATTTAGATATGATTTTTTTTTTCAAATATTCTATCAAAACCTTAAAGTCAATCAGAAATATGATGGCATCCTCTTAACATTACTCCAACACTTTAGTTTGAGTCCACTTTATCTCTAAAAGCTAATGTGACAATATTGCTCCATAGTTCACATTATCAGCAGAAACCACGTTTAAGTCGGCATATTGACATATCTAAGCCATATAAGTAAATATCAACTCTTACATAGCATGCTTTGTAACTATATTCAGGAACTATATGTAAAATGTGTACAATAATGTGTGTCATACTCTTTCAGATGCAACAGGTCTTACAGAATGTTCCTCATTTGGCTTCTCCACATCAAAACATCACTGTATATATTCAAGACACCAAAGATCCTCATGTCTGTACAATTCCTCTTGCAAACATATATTTACTCTATAATAGAACTGTTAGTTTAGCGGTGGACAGTATCTCCCCGTGGTCATTGGTTGCCCTGCAGGTGTAAACATTTGCATCCTCTGCTTCAACTTTTGAAAGGATCAGGGTGCAGCGTCCATCATCATCATACTCTATTTGGACTGTGGATGATTCTTCTACAAGTTCATCTCCACACAGCCACACCACCTCTGGATCAGGATATCCTGCAGCAAAAAACAAGAGGAGTGAGACATCTGGTGTTGGTGCTGTTTTTACACCTTCAGAAGTAAGTTAACATTTGTCCTTTGGGGTCTGAATACACTAACAAGTGTGACTTGTCATCAAAAGAAATTAGTGCATCATACGGAGACTGTTTCAGTATGAAAGATTTGACTAGAAATTTCATAAATTAACCAACAGAATGAAACAAAGGGTTTTGTTTCCTTCTTTTATAACAACATAAAATAAATAAATGCACATTTAAAAGTTTCAGGTCATTGTTACAGATTTCATCTTCTAATATTGGTATCAATGAATAGTAAATCATTGATATTCTTTGCTCTAAAGTGCAAAGAATGTATAAAAAACATCACAATTATCCGCAATTAGAATTACACCAACAATAAACAAAGACTATTTATTTTACAGTTACATTTTTCTTCCAATCATATTTTCCTAAATCCAACACTTCTGTATCGACTTCAGTTGCTGCTCACTATGAATTTTCACAAAGAAGGAAATTCATAATATTTTCTTTGTTGTTAAGTTTTCTTTTTAGGCTATAAGCTCAGTCGTGTTGGTAGAAGGTTCAGCTTTGAAACTGTTTGTTGAGACATCGATCCCATTTCCTTGTTGGTTTGTCAAAAAGGTGTACCTTGAGTCACGAGGCTAAAACACACAGCATGCTGGCTGGGTTGATAATTAAGCGGGGAAAAGGAGTGAAAAGACTGTGTCAGCCTATGTATATACCACTTAGGTGGCACGAGAGCCGGGCGCAGGCGCCCCGAGCTACTTTCTGGTCCTCCAGTTTCTTGGTAAATTGGGGTGGTCCCTGCATCTTACGCTCCAGAGACTGCAACGCATCTTCTGCTTCAGGACTTAGTGAAAGGTCTAGAGAAAAATAAATAAATACATCACAAATAACATTACTTCAACAGCAAAGTAAAGTGACTCAGTCAAGATGAGGAAAGGACAAAAAGCATCTCATCCTTACCAGTGATTGGGAGAGTTGCAGAGCTTTCATTTTTAGACAGTAAAGCCATTCTCTTTAGGGCGAGCATTGCCTTCCCGGCTTTCTGTAAGACACATTTTAATGAGACAACAAAGTAACTGAGCTCCACAGGACAAATTGCTCAAATATTGCTTGTTACCTTCCACTTCTGCCTGGCCAAAAACTTTTTCATCTTCTCCTTCGACAGACATTTTGTGGAAGATTGGTCTTCAGATTTCTTCATCCAGGGGTGAGCAAGACCCTCTTCACAAGACATCCTCCGCCTACAGATACAAAGAGAACTGCATAAGAATAACTGAAAAATGGTGTCTGTGGGAGAGTTTAGGCCATATGACCTGGGATCCTTATTTAGGAGAGAGCTGATGAAATTCTGGGCCTCCTCAGTTATATCTTCAAAGCTCTCT